CCCCCCCCCCCTCCCCCCGATCCGGGGGCTCGGCCCCGGCCATGCACACGATAAACTCGCGTAAAGAGGAAACCCGGATGAATCTGCTCGCTATGTAAAGAGAGAAAATCCTCCTAGGCCGGCCGCGAGAACCGGCAGCAACAATCCCAGCAAATCAAACACCCACGCGATACTTGACGAGAATGAAAATCACAGCCCGACCTTCTTCCCTCGACTGCCGAATCGGAACTTAGTCACCAACGCTCTAGCCTCGTTAAAACTCGCAAACCATAGTTGAATCGAATCTCTATTACAAAAATTTTCAAAATAAAAAGAACCCTCAAATCTAGCATCCTGTATTATAGTAGTTTGCGTATTACTCCACACTGATTGTCTAAATACACATCTGAAATCTAGGAGAGGCACCATAATATCATCACAAGCAACTTCAGAGGAGCCTTCCTTAGCCAATTCGTCAACCATTTCATTTCCTGCTACTCCAACATGAGCTGGAGTCAAAATAATTTTTAACTAACCTATTATATGCATAAGAAAGTTTTTCTCTAATTTCTATTATATACATATTCTTATAAACACTTACATGATTGTTTTCAGTTGCAAAAATCACAGCCTCACAGTCGGAAAATATAATAACATCTTTTGTAATAAAAAAACGTTGTATTACAGATAATATCCAACACAGGCTTGATAGCAAATGCCTCAGCAATAAAGGAAGAACATTTTTTAGGCAAACTAATACTGTAAGCAATATCTCTGTCCTCAACGACAACTCCCGCGCCTGTTGAAAGTGAATCATCTAATTTAGAGCCATCAGTGTAGACAATCGTGGGGTCTCCAGAAAGTCCAAACTTTTCTATGATGCTATTAATAAATTCGATTGTTGTAAACCACATTTTTGTGTAAATTTTACTTCATACCATAGACCTTTGTAAAATTTGTACAAAATTTTCACATTTGACGGATATTCATTTGTGTCCGTATAGCTCCATAAAGGATTAATCAGATTGAAATATCAATTACCGATTTCAAAAGTAGGGATTTCAAGCTTTCATATGATTTTTTTATTTTTTATCTGCGATGATGTTTTAATGAATTACGGTATTTTGAATATTGCGCATTTTGGAGCGTGTTCGAAAGTGTTCCCTATTTTTTTGTTGAGTAGAGTATATAATTAAACCAATATAATATTATGTATAATTAAAATTGCTCTTCCATGTTTTTATATTATAAAAACTTATATGAAATTTTAAAGAAATATTTAATTAATTATTTGAGAATAATGCATATTCTCTATATTATTCAGCAATAATCATTTAACAATAATTTTTAAAATTTACAAACACAAGTAACTTTTTTCTTGTATTTAAAAGCCACTTTATCTAATAGATATTCTATTAAGAAGAATTATGTCTACGACGTTTGACACGAGTGCGTCCTTTATACACACAGTAAAGCAAACGGCGATATTAGATAGCAGAATGTCTCATAAATTTAACAGCGCATAAATTAGCAATGCGACTTCTTATATTGCCATGCGCAGGAAAAAAATCGAAGTTCAGTTTATCCAGAAATCCTTCTTATTTGGTAGGGTCTCGTAATGAAGAGCTACATTTTTCAACAATTTGTTTTCACCATTGTGATAATATATGCATCTACGATTGGTAAGTATTGGTTTTCAATAATGAATTCTACTCAGTAAAAATAGATTAAAATGGATAAAAACTTTTATTCATTTTAATCCATCTGAATGTATGCTTTAGTAGCATTCATGATCCATTATTTTCACTACTTTAGATTCAATTGAATAAAAAAACTTTTCCCAATAGATTTAACTAAATTGAAAAACTAGTTCTTTCTTGTTCAGTAAATTTTTAATTGAGCGGTACTTACGATGTATTTAAAAAACTAATTTAATAATAAAAAATTAAAAATTTTTTTTAATCTGAAAGGCATAGAAATGTGTTTTATGTAATTCCTATAAATAAATAAAAATGCATTGTGATGAAACATTTCAATGTTTGCGAATGCGTACTTCTGAAAATCTGAATTTATTCTAATCTCTTTACTAAAAATTTAGCTAGATATATAATAAAGGAAATTCATTAGTTAATTAATAAATAAACAAGAAAGGACCACGAGCCAAGCTGGATGTTAATGCTATATATTAAATTTCATATATATAATACATATAAAAACATATGTTTCAACTTCTATCGAGTCATTCTCAATGTTTAAAAATCGCTAAAAACGTTAAACTACCGAATAAAATTTCGATAAACAATAAAATGATATAATAATCTCTAATTCTGGTCGCATTTACATATTTCAATAAACAATAAAATAATCCTTAATTCTTGTTTTACGCGTTTTACATACATATCGCTCGCAGTTCCTCTTATGTGATGAAATAGATCGGCGGCTAGTCATTCAATTCAATGCTTAATGCAAGTAAAAAGATGTGCGGATTTCTAACGGTGCGAACTAAATCTTATGTGAGCGTGGATAAAAATATTTGAATTGACCGTCCACATTGGTGTGTAAAACGTATTTTAACAATTAGTTAATGATTAATGTCCATATTTCTGACAACATAATTTAATTTTAATCTTGGTTTATATATATATAAACCATGATGTAATGATATATATACTTATATACATATAGAAACTATATATGTTTTTTTGATCACTGAACACGATGCAATAATTCATTTAGCTCTACGATATACGCCTTAAGAAAACAGCCAGATTAATGTGAAAAAATGATCAAATTTTGAGTTCAAGATCGATTTTAGCAAGGTTTCAAGCGTTTAAATGGATCGTTCCTCCCCTCAAATTATAAGTATGTTTACACAGAACAAGATTCAGTTGGAATTTTCCCAGGACTTCCTATAGAGCCTTTAAAAGTTGCTTTTAACTGGACTGTAAAACGTTTTTAAGGATAGAAAAAATTTTTTTACAAGTTTTAAACTATATCGCTTTGTGGTTTCTACATCCTCAAATCAAATGCCTCAATGTAGAAGTAAATAATGGCTTAATACTTATAAACAAAAGTTAAAAAAGGAACATGCAGCCAATACGTCGGTTGTTTGTTGCAATGTCATATATTTATAATAATCATTACTAGACTGCGGAACTTTATGCAAAATACTTAACTGAATATTTTGTATAAAATGCATATTTTGCAATTTTGTAAATTTACAGATGGCAATCTCAATCTTTTTACTTCACCTTTTAATAACTCTTTAACGAACAACGATTGACTGCTAAAACTGTCCGATAGTTAATATTCAGTTAAGTATTTTGCATAAAGTTCCGCAGTGTAATCATTACAAATTGAAATTCATAAACGTTTTGGTCGATATTCGGCCTTCATCAGTATGTTCTATTATACAATTTTTAAGTCGGAAGCTAGATAAGTTAAAAATTACAATTTAAAAATTATAAGAAATTAAATCTCAGTTCATTACAATGTGCGATGGTCAGTTAATATAAGAAGTTGAGTGTATGAAATCGTATAAAGTTCTTGTGAAATGGTTGATTTTTGTGTGAATATTACAATGTTGATCTGTTATTGACCTATAAAAAGGTAACGATACAAGAATAACGGGGTCAACTTCGTTACTCATTACTAAAGAAATAATGTTGTTATAAGCAAGGCTCATACAAAAGATTCGAACATGTTGAATATTCGATCTATTCGAATAATTCGAAGTTGAAAAAAATGAGCATCTAATTAGAATATTTCGGACAGTTCGAACAGTTCGAGCTTAAGCAGTGGTCAGTATGAAATGTCAGTTCGTTATGTCTGAAGTTTGGACGGTTCGGACAGTAAATAAATGTAGTATGCTTTGGAAACAAAAGAACAGTTTTTCACGAGACTTGAATATACAAATATTACAAAAATGTCAAAAAGAAAAAGTCGCGTCAAATTCAGTTATATTCAGGTTGATCCTGAGGACGACTTGTTATGTTTGAGTTCGAAATGTAATAAATTCGAACTTTTAGCTCTGAAGTGGGTTAAAATAGTTCGAACATACATTCAGTCCGAACTATTTAACTTTCGAACTTGAGATTCGAACTGTTCGAACTGTCAAATCGTCTGATGTTTCCGAACACTAGTTATAAGTAACGTCGTTATAAGTTACTTTGCAACCCTATATATGTACAACATTTTATATATAAAACATAATAAAATATTTTTTCGTTAAATACTTTTCGAGTTATAAGGCTTGAAAGTTACAGTACAGTCGACATTAGCATTATTCAAGGTATCCGACCGGCGGTTAAAAACCTCTTGAATGTTGTTCAAGATCATGACCTGAATAACGTTTGTCAAGATCAAGGCTATTGGTGATTGTATCTCTTATTTTCATTTTTACGTAAAAATGAATTTTTAGTGTAAAAATAAGAGGAACTACCTCCAATGGCCTTGATCTTGACAAATGTTATCTAGATCATGATCCTAAACAACATTCAAGAGGTTTTTAGCCATCGGCCGAACACCGGCTTAATGCCGGGACTGTAACTTTCAATCTTTATAACACGAAAAGTATTTAAAGAAAAAATATTTTATTATAGTGTTTTGAAAAACTCTCGAGGTAAGCTACAAGAATATGGAATAAAAAATGAGGGGTTCCGTTTAAGAAAACAATGCTCGCATTGACTTAGCCTTGAGAAAGCCATTCAAGATCAAATTCATATTTTCATCATATGTCCCCCTTAATGTCCTACAACTTTTTGTCTGAAACATTTTTCCATATCTAAAACTATTTCCGAGATATATGGCCTGGGCGAGACTTTATAGACACCCTGTATATATATACAGGGTGTTTGAAAAGTGCCGGGACACCTGAATATCATGGAAAGTATAAGTATTACAGAAAAATGTTTCAGACAAAAGTTGTAGGGTTCAAATCTATTTACCGATCATATCCGTTTGACCTTGGGTGGCATCGCCAAGATCAGGTCAAGGTCACATCAATTTTTTTAAATGAAACATCCCATTTTTCATTGCATATTCTTATAGTACATCCCGAAAGCTTTCCAAAACATTAAAATAAAATATTTTTTCATTAAATATTTTTCGAGTTATGAGGCTTGAAAGTCATAGTATGTGCCGGCATTAGCATTACCCAAGATGTTCGATCGACGCACCGCCGCGACGGAGAAGTAATCCAATTTAATGTGATAGTTGAATCCGACCAAAGATGCATTGAAAGAAAAGATTGGTTGCTGCAACAATTTAGATAGTAAAATATGGCATAGCATTTTTAATCGGCTGGAGCAACCAGTTTTTGATTGTAGCAGCAAATTTTTAATTGCGTTAGCCTATCGAAATCATATAGCGACATTGCGGATAGGTTAACGCAACTAAAAATTTGCTGTTACAAGAGACCGTGCACTTACATGATTAGTTGATGAGCATTCCCAGACAGCCATGTACGTTCTGACAATGTTAGAACGATATCGCAAACGTATGTTGAATACGTCGTCAAGATATTCAAGGCGCGTCTGTGATGCACAGAATATTTCTTCAGAATCTACTATGTCCGCGGTTTATCATCCCGTAGACTTCGCAGGGAGCTCCTAGTAATATACCGTAGTTATTCTGAAATGTATGAGTATGTCTTCAATACGTCTCCAGTACGTCTGTATAGTATCCGCGTTATCATAGTGATGTCTTTAGTATGTCATGTATGCATGCACATACATACACACATACATACAGATATATATAAAATTTCGCGCTTGCATGCTGAACGAATTAAGTATTTGCACAGTGCAGTTGCTACTTTAAAATAGTAAATATTTTGAAAGAATCAAAATGTTCTGAACGAATTAAGTATTTGCACAGTGCAGTTGCTACTTTAAAATAGTAAATATTTTGAAAGAAGCAAAATTTTTTAAAAATACTTTCTATTTTATAGTAACAACTGCATTGTGCAAATACTTATAATTCATTCAGCATGCTCGATACACTATGCTCGTGCTTAATCTCGTGGCTCACACGCCTGCACACCATGACACCTTCTTCTTCTTTTTCTTTAAAATTGATAACACTCGCCGCAAAAATGGAGACGATTCCGGCCAGAATCGTAAATAAATCATGTAACCAAAGTATGATACATCGGTCACCTCAAACCGGTGAATGGGACGAAATAATGATGTAATCAAGACAAATAATGTAACACAATGCACAGTCGAAGCCGGAAACACTTTCCAAAAAATGGATGAGATGATGCGTACGTCCGTCCCGCTCGAGTGGTCTCGCGAAACTGACACCATGACTGCCATGACATGATGACATTGGAAGACATGACAGTATCAAGAATAATTTAGAGACGTCTTGGGTATAATCGATATAATAGCAGTATATTCAGCATCAAAATCAAAATTTAGCTATTATATTTGATATATCTTGACAATATATAAGAAATAATATTTTTCTGAGATGTCATATTAACATTTCTGGTTTATTCGGTATAATCACAGTACATTCAGTATGAATATTGCAATTTGTTAAATTACCCAATCCTGACACATTGAGGATTAATACATGAAGTATAAAATGTATCGAATTGCTGAAAATGACTCAAAATAGATTCGATACGTTCAATCAATTGTTAAATGACATCATAATATCGCAATAAAAATTTTTAATGAAAGTTTTTTATATTAATTTGTTGCGCACTATTAATTGCGCTGTACTCTCATTAGCTTTATTTGATTCTCCTTTAACTGTTTGAAAAAGTTGTTATACTGAAGAAATATTTTATTATAAATTTTTTTTCTCTGTTCTGCTTAAATACAGGCAATGTTTGATATAAGAAAAAATGAGCATTTATTTTTTTGTAGACGGAGTGCCCATCGAGGAGGACCTTAAAAGCATCTTTCTACGTATTTATGTCGGGTACTTATTTTAAACTTTTGATTTCTTTTATCACTTTATTTATTTAAAATTAAATTCTTGCGAAAAAAATAAATTAATTGCATTTTTCGTCATGATATCAATCTTCTTTGACGAAAAATAAAAATAATAATAAATTTTCCGAAAAACCTATTTTTTTATTATTAATCCAAAATTTTATTTCTTTCAGAATCACTATACATGAATATATCGATTGCTCACTGGAAAACGCCAGCGCAATTACATCTCGATTAAACACTAGCAAACCGACGGTGATGTACATTCATGGTTTTTCGGAAAATGTAGAGAAAAAGAGCGTACAAACAATAGTGCAAGGTATATCAAAATGACATGTAATATGTATTTTAAAAAGTATATAAATTACTTTTATGTTTCAGCTTACTTGAAAAGAAACGATCATAACATTATCGCAGTGGATTACAGTAAATTTGCGAACGACTCATATGTAACAGTGACAAGAAATGCTCCTCGCGTTGCAAATGCTCTTACGATGATTCTCGATAAGATGGCGGAGTTGGACTTCGATACTGAAAAATTACACGTTATTGGGCACTCCATGGGCAGTCAAATCTCCGGTTATATTGGCAGAAAAGTTAACTTTAAGATTCCTAGAATAACAGGTGAAAGTCCAGAAGTCCAGTTTTTTATTAGCTGATTTTTATTTGGATTTTAATCATATCACTCATGCTTAATATGGTTTGAGTAAAAAGAAATTTCATATTTTTAGATGACATTCAAATCTAAAAATACGAAATTACTTTTTATTCAATCCAAATATCTTGTCCAATACCAAAATATTTTTAAATAACAAGAGATATTAAAATATTTTGATGATTTTCTTTCTCTTTTTTCTCTCACAAATTCACAATGATGAAATAATTCAAATTCGGATTAATTCTTTATTATTTTTTATTTCGTATTCTTACAAATAAAATAATTTTATTTTTTTAAAAAGTGAAATCTACATTCCCCCTGGGAAGAAATGTTATATATATGGATATATTTTATATATAATTATAATTCTATAAAATATGTCAATTTTATATATATATATAATTACATATAATTTTATATAATTATACATGAAAACATTTTTTCCCGAGATTTTTGCTAATTGTAAGTTTCAATATTGTTACGTCCGTACCGATAAGAATATAGAAAATAGCGATCGAAACGGCGCGGCGTCATATGTACGAGCGGTATCACAGGAATAGAGGAAGGTAGAGATTGATTGGAGAATATTTTCTTAGATAAAGGAGGTACGATCAATCCAAGGCGCGTCTCAGATCGAGCGGCAAACCAAAAGACGACAGCCCATACTCAAATTCTCAACTAGCGGACTCGAATTAACAGATTTTTAAAGAGAAAGATAATTTATTAGTTAATTTAATGGAAAAGAAAAATGATAAAAATGCAAAAGAAAAATGATAAAAATGAAGGAAATTACTATTACTGATATTTTATATACTTAACTGAGTAATTTAAATTATTAATGAATTTGTATTTTTTTTTAATGAGAAATAAGATTTAAGAAGATTTGTGAGAGATATTGTTATTTATTTAATTTATTAGTTATCTTATGACGAAAGAAAAATATTAAAGAAGAATTGAATCAATATTAATAAATTGTAATTAAAATAAGCAGCGTGATTTACAAAGAATTTCAGAGATTCGAGCAGGTTCATAGGTGCTGGAGGCAGGGGAAGTTGTGGAAAGAAAATCGCGCACCATATAGCGTTCCTCAGTTCTTTTATTTACACTTATTTAGTAATATTGATAGACCGATTGATAGACGGAAGATTTTCCAATTATTATTTACACGTATGTCAGAAGCAACGCGATACAGTTATGGCAAGTTGGCGCGATTACTCGGTCTGTCGCGAGATGGCGCGGCGGCGGGAAGGGTAGCCTTCGAGAAGAGGCGCGAGGATCGCCCTTAGCAATGCGCCGTTAGGGGCTCCGCACAATAACAGGAACAGGGAACAGAGAACAGAGAATAAGAATTTCAACCTATCAGAAATCATGTATTGTGGAATACGCACGCGGCCGGACGTAACAATGCACTAAAATTAAAAAGATATATTAGTTTGATGCATATATGTACATATATATAGATAAATATTATTATTATATCATTATATACTTTTCAATATTTTTGTATAGGATTGGATCCCGCTGGTCCTCTTTACAACTTTCTTCAACCTCATCTTTCGCTCTTTGACGCCCGTTTTGTGGATATCATACACACGGATTATGGATTTTATGGTATTGCCAGGATTACAGGCACAGTGGACTTTTTCCCAAACGGTGGTCAACGCATACAACCCGGCTGTCCACATCATCCTAAATTTTATAGCAAAGATGGTATATATATTTTTTCTCATTTAGAATTTGCAGTTAAAGATTGTACCTTTTACATTGCTTTTTGTCATTTCATTGATAGATTTCTGCAGCCATCATCGTTCTTGGAAATTCTATGCAGAGTCTCTGATCAACGAATCTGCCTTCCTGGGTGTGCAATGTTCTTCATTATCTCATTTGGCTTCCGGCAAATGCAATAATAACACGCAGATTATCATGGGATATGCCACTCCAAGCAGCGCGTCAGTGAAAAAATTTTGAAATAAATGATATATTTAAGAAAAAGATTATTATTTTATAAAATTATATTTTAGTGTAAAAAATTTCTTAGAATTTTTTACATAATTTATTTTTTATATACAGGATATCTCGCGAGACTTTTGCTATAACTTACGGGAAGGTAGATGGGATTGAGATGAACACAAACAATAAGGGACACTTTCGAACATTTGTAATAATACGCTAGAGAAACATCTCTACTCTTCTTCGATTTTATGATATATTACCATCTGATTCGCCGTCTACGGTAATTACACCTAAAGAGCACAATGTTATGTCAAATATCGTTGGTACGATTAACAACGAAGAGTCCTTTTTATAATTTTTGTGATAGTGAACTTAGAATTTCTACTACCGTAAATACACTATTATACCTACTTGCAAGGTCGAAAAAACACGTATTCTGGGAATTTTTTTTGAAAAAATTTGAAGTGCTTTTGAAATTAATGTTTACGTATTCAAATATATGTATTTCAAGGATAATTCAGTACTTTTTTTATTGCAAAATATCGATAAATAAAGAAGATATGAGTGATCTCCCAGAAACAGTTTTTTTAGAAGCATTTTGCGGTGACCACTCTGGCTTTGAGCTGGTTTATCTGAAATGAAAAAGCCCGACAAATTTAGATCTTAATATATAAGATTATCTAGTGCCCGATCGTTCATTTTTTTTTTAAATTAATTTGCGACAAAATGCTGACTGTTCAAATTCGAAGGTACGATTCTTCTACCAAAAATTCGCTCGTTTTTTATTAGTAAAAAAAATACGCAACGAAAAAAAAGCCACGATCGGGGGCACTAGATTTTTTAGTACTAAAGAAGCCTACCAAATTTCATTTTGATCGGTGCAGCAGTTCTCGAGATATTTTGGTCACCGATTTTAAAAATGCAGTTTTGAGAAAAATGCGTTTGAAGTTTCAAATTAAGTTTATAACCAAATAAGATGCAAAACTTACACGGAGTCGTCTATTCCTTGAAATTTATAGGAAATATTTCTGAAAGTATACACTTTAAGAAAATATTAAAATCCAAGAATCGATTTTTTTGAAGTTTACAAGTAGGTATAACCCCTTAATTACAACAGATTTTCAGTAATTTTTTAAGGATAGGTTTTAACAAAACTCTTTATTAATATTTTATCATATTCTGATGAAATCATGTTCTCCTAACAGCAAAATGATAGTAGAAAACGGCGGAGAATGATATTATTACTTTCGGATATTTTTTCTTAAATTTGTTTTCTTTCGATTTAGAGAAGCGTCAGATTACGATATAAATCAATTAGATTTTCCGTAAATTCCATAGGTCTCTATCGCTTTCTCTCTTTCGACATTCTTATTCACAGAAGTTTATTGTGATTTGTATTTGTCTTATTTTTGCAATGTTATTTTATATATATATTATAATCGGTTTCATTATATTATAATCGCAAATGTGCGTAGCGCATCGAAGTCTCTCGGCGCGGTGCGACAACATGTGAGCGGCGATGCCGGTTTCCCTTTTTGCCTCTCCAACGCGTTGCCGGCAATCAATACTTGATAAATTGGGCCGGGCTACACCTCGAGCGGTCGAAGCGTTTTTCTCGGCGTGTTCTCATTAGTACAATAAAAAATTTCAATATCTCGATTATTATTAGCGAATATCGCTAAATGATATGGGATTTTTGTATTCATCTTGATCCTATCTACCTTACTATGAGTTATGGCAAAAGTCTCCCGGGACACCCTGTATTCATTTTATAACACTAAAAAAATTTTTCAGACTTTTTAAATTTGTGAAAAATATTGCCTCCCCCGGGAGTCGAACTCTGATCTTTTGCATTCCGTGCGAGCGTCCTAAGCCTTTAGACCACAATATTTTTCGCAATATGATGACTGTGTTCCGATATTCACTATCAGTGCTGAAAATGCATGGTGCTTGTAACGTATTAATAGATTTTCAGTACTGGCAATGAATATCGGAACACGACCAAAATATGAAGAAGTTCGACATCTTTTTTTAAATCTTCATTAATTTAAAATATGAATAATTCTAAAAATATTAGAAGATATAAGAATTTCTTAACTAGAATAATGTTCTTTAAATGCAAAATTCCATAATATATTCTTTTTCTTTTAGGCAAGGAACCGTTTATCTCCTAACAGCCGATCAAAGTCCTTTTGGATTGAAGGAACAAGGACTCTTGACTTGATTGTGCTACGTTGAGAACCACAATATAAAAACGATACTGCAAGAATTTTAATAAAATAGAAGTAGTCAATTCTGTTACTAGTTATATAAAAGGAAAAAGCAACTAGAGAGAATGTATATCGGCTTCTAATGCATATTTTATCATGCTACATTCATTATAATATAACGAATGTAGCATGATAAAATTTAATGTCCAATTGACGATTGTCACATCACTACGATATTCGATATATTCTTGTCATTTAAATTTAAATTTGTTAAAAATACGACTAATGGTTAACTGGAAGTTCGAGAAGTCTTATTAAAGTATATATAGATTCAAAAATATTGTGCTGGCGCTAAGATCTATGACTCGCGTATATCAATCGCGACGATAATAGGAGTTATAGTGAACGTAGCGAATTAATACCAACGTTTATTTTTAAATAAAATGGAATAAGGCGGAATTTACCGCATAATAACTCTGACATACCTTTCATAGCGTACAGATAGCCTTTATAGAATTGCACGTAACGTTTTGTGGGCCGATTAGCAAAACATATTTATGTATAAATTATCTATAAGTGAGAGAAAATAAAAAAAGCCATACAGCAAAAAACGCTGAAACGAGGAAATGGAAACTGTAATATAACAGCATCTATATTCGAACTTGACTCTAATTTACCCTTCTATATTCTTGTTAATTGTTTAAAAGAATAACTTAATTTGCATATTATTAGTTTAAAATATCTTATTCAATGACGTATTAATTATTTCATTAATTTAACCGTAGGAAAATAAAGCACCTTTTTCAAATTTTATTGTTAATTATAACTTTATATTTTCTTTTGGGAAAAATACTGTTACTTCTAAAATTTTACACACTAAATAGAGATTATTTTACAAGAAATTTAGTTTTCAATGAAAAAGTTAAAACTTTTATTTTCGATCGCCTATATATTCACATCGGTATCACTGTGCGTCGCGCGATAAGCGTTTCAGCGTCCAGTGTGTAGAAGTCATAAATTAATGGAAATAATTAATAATTATTTAACGTGTAAATTGACGTTCCATGTTGCACGTAGATTTCTCCCGTAAAGCGATCGCATTATCAGCATTAAAATAAAACTGCGTGCTAAACTTTGGAATTGTACGGTATTTTTACGCGTGACTAGTTTCGTGCAGAAATATTTAATATGTCTCATTTTCAAACAGTACACAATATCGCCACTAGAGGGACACAGCGAAGTTCAGTTACTCGTATAAAACTACATCGAATTGGATAAAAGGCGCACTATGATGAGAAATTCTCAGCAAAAAATTTTTATCCTTTTTTTGGCTGAGTTCTTCTACTATATTGGCTAAATATTGGTTTGCCAATATTGGCTAAATATTGTTTTGACAATATTGGCTAAATATTGTATTGCCAATATTTAGCCAATTAATATTACCCAAATAAAATTAGTTAATTCCAAAAAATTGTAATTTTTATTTTTATGAAATACCCAATACTTTTAAATATTTTTAATCAAATTTAAAATTGAAGACACACTTCTTACTGCAATATTGGACTAACTCACATTTGATGAAAGCGGAGAATATAAATAAGACAGTCAGAGGATGGTGTAGCATATATTCCAATAAACACATATTATCATATAGTACGTGATTACTAATATTGCAGCAAGGTCTTCAACTGAAAAAGATGTCCAAAATTAGTCCATAACATGGCCATAATAGGTCCAAAATTGGATGTGTTCAGACATCCTATGGACGTACAAAGTTGTGACAAATGTACATCCCATGGACGTCCATAGGACGTTCGACGGACATAATTTGGACTTCCTATGGACGTCCCAATGTCCAGAAACAAATGTCCAGTGGAAGTACAATGGACATCCTTATGCTATCTGGGTAAATAATTATTTGAATAACATAGATAAGATTTAAATGATTACAAAATAATAGATAGCTGGTAATCTACTATTTAATTATATTGGCAAACATTTCAAGAAAAAATGCAGTTGATGTCAATATGATGCAACAGTCTGCTCAAATTTACAATAAAATGCTAGCTTGCAGCTAATGTTTTATTTACTAGATATGACAGACTGGATGGCACGAGAAAATAAATGAAGAGAAAAGCATTTAGCATTCCTAGAATCGCTATCACACTGTTAACATTTTATTTACTGGATATGATTAGATGGTATAGGAAGATAAAAAAAATGAAGAGAAAAAATCCTTTAATATCGAACAGTAAAGAAACTAACGTCGAAAGACAACATAGTGATGTGTTTAGTAGATCGAGATAAACATTACTATGTCGTTTATTTTGATATCTATTATTTGTGAATTTCCTAATTTACTTCTTTTTAAGTTTTTGATTTCTTGCAATAAGAGAAGTATTTTTCTCGCAGATTCAGATCAGCTTTCCTGTTCTATGATAAGCTAATCTATATTATTGCAAAAAATGCAAGCGACTAGTAGAATGTCTGACGCGATTGATGATTGCTGATAAAACCTCGGAAGCAGATAATAATGCGGTTGATAAGGAATAACCGACATCGGCTTGCAAACGGAAGTCGTCATGTATCCAAATCGGTTTAAGTCGTCTATGAAACTGCTTAAAGCTCACAAGCTGCGTAGCTACCGGTGTAGCATTGATACTTTGCACGGTTTGCTTATTCGTTCGTTTCATATTGTTTGTCACGTTGTGCGATTGAGTGGAAAGAAAAGAAGTAGTTTTAATTATGGGAAAGTTTGCTACAGTGTTTTTGATAGAGCTTCTCTTCATTGTGGGGGTATGCGAATGTTTTTTTTTTATTGTTCGAGTCGATTATTTAATCGAAAATTTAAATATGCACATTATACATTGAGCGATATAAACGATTATTTCTTAACAGTGTTAAACGACAGATTACTTTTTAACAGTGTTAAACGACATATTTAATATTAATTTAATATCAATTGAAGAGCATATTGCAATAATGGACTAACTCACATTTTGTAAAAATGGAGTAAATTAAATCTGAAGTTATATAATATGATGAGAAAAATATATGTAACATCGAATATGTATAATATTAATATTTTTTCCACGACTTTAACTTTAAGATTTAGTTATTTCGTTTTTATAAAATGTAAGTTAGCCTGTTGCTGCAGCAAGCCCTTTAATTAATAAAATTAAATTTACAGTATCAAATATAATAATTAAATTTATAATATTAAATATAAATTAAATACAGTGAAGAAAGAGACGATACTAATTGCGATGTAAGCAAAAACGAGTTTGCGCAATCAGATAAGTGATTGTCGAAAAATATCAATTTGTCTGATATGTGATATCGAATGATTAATTCGAGATAAATTATATAACCAATTACTTTTCTTTAGAAAACAAAACTTAATTTTAAAATTATTAATTACAATATTATCATAAAGGATATTGCACTGATAAAATATGAATATGCTGTATAAATTTTAAATTAAAGCATATCTTTTTTGCATTTTTTGTTTTAGATTGTCCTCGGAGATCGTTTTCACGGATACGAGTCTTACAAAAAGTTCTACAATTATCGCGTTAATGGTGGGCGACTAAAACATCCAACGACCGCTTCCTATCAAGTGACGAAAGAATCATATTATGATCCTAACGACATGAAAGAAAAAGTAAAATCGCGCTTTGAAGGTAACGTGTGCAATCCTAAAATAGTATTTTGACTGTTTAAGGGGATGCTGGAGGGACCCAATTATCGACATTGCAGTTTGATCAAAATCTCCGAATTGACTAAATGGAATAAAAAATCCTTTTACAGGATTAAAGTAAACGCAAAATTCTGACGTAGTGTAGTGGATTTTATACTAAAATAAAAAAAAAGTTTAAAGAATTTTTTACTTTTTTTCGATTTTAGTATAACATCCACTGCGCCACATCAGGATTTTGCGTTTACTGTAATCCTGTAAAAGGATTTTTTTATTCCATGTAGTCAATTCGGAGATTTTGATCAAATTGTAATGTCGATAAAAAATGCACCCCTTAGTAAACAAAATATCTCTTTATGACATGTGAAATATAATAACAAATAATATTAATTAATAATAATTAATAGTATATATTAATATTAATTTAATATAATCACGTGTACATAACAGAAATTATACATTATAATCATTCTACTTATATGTTCCAAATGAAATATAATTACTAAAATCACAATAATGTTTTTCGTGTTTTGATAGATGCGAAATTATCAATTATTGTATCAAAATCTATACCTTATATATTTTGTTTTCAATTGAAAGAATTCCTATATTTAGCGGTTGACTAAAATAGATTAACATAAATATTTAAGATACTTTTTTGGAAATCTTCAAAATTTAAAATAGAAAAAATTGTTTAAATAGTATTAGATTTTTTTCTACTAAGGCGATTTTTAGTTGAGTAAAAAATTTTGGTAAGTATTATTTTCAGATAATTTGTTACAGCAAAAAACTGCAACAATATTGCCGTAACATTTGTTACTGCAATATTGCTGAAATGTTGCTGTAGTATTGCTGGAATGATCTGTGATCTATGGAATAGCAAATAAAGATGATTTTGAATTTTCAGAAGGATGGCAAGTAAGAAATGGCGGTAACCATACAGAGGTAACACGTTGTGATTACACAAAACAAACTTTCTGCGAGGATGTTCCGGATTATCCTCAAGAATTTGTAAATCAGATGCTCGCCAAGAATTCCAACTTAATACATTACGCGTACGAGGATGTTGTTAGTAGACTTATAATTACAATATGATATTTCTTCTCGCAGCTAACAAAAAGTTGATCTAGAATTTTCTATTTTATGAATAGATTGCTCTGTCACCGCGATTAGATAACGAAGAGGAACCACTTTGCCTGTCTACGGTAAAATCATCTTTAAATTGTGATCTCTTCTAAAGGTGAACCTACGATCAGTAATACTGATCAGTAATAATGAATTAGTAATACTCACATTAAAACAGTATGCATTTATATTTTTAGTATTTTTACGATCTTACAAAAATTACAAAAGAAGAAATTACAAAAATTGTTTATACAGGGTGTCCCAGTAACTCTATTACAAGACAATATCTCCGTTACCGGTAATGATACGCGAAAATGCCTTTCGCGAAATCACATCACAGTCTCCAGTAAATCCTAGGTGGATGCAAACTGTGCAGTTTCAACATCGTTGGTCGTTGAATGTATGGTGTGGTATTTTGGGTGACTATCTAATTGGACCACATTTTTTTGACACGACTGTTAATGGCAATACGTATACAAATTTCTTGCTTAATACACTTCCGTCATTATTAAAAAATGTTCCCCTATATCCTTACGTCTAGTTATATAGTTTCAACAAGACAGTGCACCGCCACATTACGCTCGTTCTTCTCGCAATGCATTAAATATTTTATATCCAAATAAATAGATAGGAAGAGGAAGTCTGACTCCTTGGCCGCCACGTTCTCCTGATATTAATCCCCTAGATTTCTTTCTATGGGGCTTTATCAAAGAAAACATTTTTTCGACAAAGCCTACGACATGTGACGACATGAAAGAAAGAATTCGACAAGCTTGTGCTGCTGTAACACCCCAAATATTCGCAGATGTGCGATGTTCGTTTAATACTCGAATTAACAAATGTTTAGAAGTTCATGGAAACAATTTTGTACACTTATTACAATAAATTTTTCTATGCCAAACTTTCAATTGTACTTATTTCGTTATTCGCACCCATTCCTGAAAATTTCTGAATTTTTCATACTCAAGGTCACGTAAAGGTCATAATATTATAAGCTATTGGATTCGTCTTGACCTCAGCTATTATGCTATAATCATAAAAGTATGTAGTCCTATTTAAAAAAATATTAATGACCTCTTAAAGGCTCTCAAAATATGACCTTGAGAAAGAAATAATTCCTACCATAATGTGTGTCCCTTCGAACCAAACAATTTCTTTCTTAAGCATTTTCGCATATCATTAACGGTAACGGAGATATTGCCTTGTAACAGAGTTATTAGAACACCCTTTATATGTAAATAATGTTAAGTTTAAAAAATGTCTATAAACACTAATAAAAACCACTTAAAATTACAGGAGCGATTAATTCGTCCAAAAACGGCTATAAATATGAAAAATCAATGGATGTACATTGTCCAGGCAGGCGAAAATTTTTTTCAAAGTATACGCATCGAAACTTGTATGTAAGTACAGAAAAAAGATACTTTAAATTAGAATGTCACAGTCCTTTAATGTTTATATGTAATATTAATAAGAAAATTACAGAATAAATATAGTATATATAGATCATAAGACGAGAATAAAATAGAATGTTACGAGAAATATTCGTAATGTATACTATTCTCAGAGAACAAGATCGTAAGTGCAGAATGATCGACGATTTTGCTGAAGGATACGTCACGATGTGCAAACAGAAGTATATTTATCGCGAGCTGTCAGCCATTTCTCAGGGTGGCGACATCGTTCGCGATTACTTCCGACTTCCTGCGAGCTGCTGTTGCCATGTTCATTTCCAAGCCATTGAAGAAAAAGCGAGAATAAGATCGTTTTTATAAGATCTTCAGCCTTTACTTATATGAAAAATGTATAAGAATATATTTAAGAAAATATTTAAGCACATTTAAATTTCTAAGCGGTATTATTTGCGTGGAAATAAATATATAGTTGGCCACCAGATTTCTTCGATATGAGTATCCGAAAAAGATGATAGCTTTCGTTCGTACTAAGATCCTTGCAGGACGTTGTACGCTGAATAAGATATTTTGATGATCTAAAAAAATGAAAATTAAAAAATGTAATAATCAAGACATAATTGTTTTAATTACTTAATTAAAAACATTTTTAGCGCAAATATTATGACAATATTATCCTGTTCACCTTCATAAACGAATCGTTAGACAAAGTAATCATGTATCCACTAGTTATCTTAATTGGTCTCTTAGATCGCGTAATTATTAATAAAAGAATCTTCATTAAATCAACAGGAAGCATTGGCCAGTCCATCTCATAAACAGCACTTCCGATTTCAGTGCTCTACGTATTTAAGAATAAACTGATTAAAAAGAAAGTTTACTAAATCGGCTTCAAATAAATTAAATATTCTTTGAAGAAAATAAGGTTTTAAAAGTTAAAAAATTTTTTAATGACCGACCTTCAATGTTACTTCGTTACCAAACCAGCAGTACAAATAAATCTGCATAAGCATACAACCAAGATACGACGAGCTCCATGCAAATTCAAGGCTCAGCAAATTCTTCGTCAACATTTTGTAGATGCTAAGACAGAGCACTGTCGAGCTTATGGTGAATTGTACGAAAATCATTAGCGTGAACACTGCATTAATGCGTTCAGCAAATCTGTACCATTATGATTAGTTCTTTTATACATATATATATATATATATATATATATATACATGTGCATGTGTGTATATACATATACACACGCAGAGGGTGTAACTAAAATAAGATAACAAATTTCGGGACCCTATAGTCCCTGCACCAAGCACGAAGAAAAGTTGATATGTAACACAGACTTCTATAACTAGACTGCTGACTCAATATGATAGAAAGAGATAAAGCTGTTATTGTTTTAGTTCACATATGCGTCCTGTTTGTGAGTATCGCCTGAATTTGTGTAAAAACACCAACACTGTTATCTGTGTGATTTATACATGTGAGAGTGAGTGAACACAAAATATGGCACTGCTCAGTGCTGTTTTCAAACATGGAGGCGAAGTAAGCAATCTATTTATAGAAGTCTGTGATATTTATGTACATACGTTCGCAAATCCACTGTTACTGAAATATATAGCTCACAATCAGTTACATGATCCCCACGATCTCCCGATCTAAATCCTCCAAATTAAAACCCAAGGAAATTTACAGCAAGATAGAAGTCTCCTCCCATGAGAATCTGTCGAATTTACCATGGGTACCCATGGTTAGGCAAACTTACAGGAAAATTCCCCATGGGAATTTGCAGTAGCGTTAGAAGTTGCACAACTATTTAATATTCCCTACACGAGTTTTTAAAGATAAGTTCAATCTAAACAAAACAAATGTGTGGTGAAATTGAAGTGCTAGTCAAATGGGTATTGCCGTTTGGTGCATTTGTTGAAACTCTACATTTTTTGTACGAAACATTTTTCCAGTAAACCAATACAATACTTTCCAAGATAAATAACCGTTCCGGAACTTTTAACACGTAGTATATATACAGGGTGTTTGGCGACTACCGCATTTTTTTGTCATACGTGGGTAGAACAGCCTATACTGAATCAAAAAGTCCTGTACCATTTTGAGGTGTCAGCAATAGTTAACAAGATATTAATTACTAAGAATTGCAAAATATTGGTCTTGAATAATTTTTTACTCAAATACTATCAACTTTACAGAAAAACTGCAACAGAGGAAAATTATTTATTTTCTTCTTATAAAGTTCTGAGAATTTTTTTAAAATTTGTTATCAACTTTTTAGTACTGCATTTTGACGCCATTTTCTTATTTTTACCAACATGAGAAAATACGGTACTAAAAAATTCTGAAAAAATTCTGAAAAAATTCTCAGAACTTTATGAGATGAAAATAAATGATGTTTGTCTCTCGCAGTTTTTCTGTAAAGTTGATAGTATTTGAGTAAAAAATTATTCAAGACCAATATTTTGCAATTTTTAATAATTAATATCTTGTTAACTATTGCTGACACCGCAAAATGGTACAGGACTTTTTGATTCAGTATAGGCTGTTCTACCCACGTATGACAAAAAATGCGGTAGTCTCCAAACACCCTGTATATCAAAATGATATTATATAGGGTGTCCCGACCTTTTTTGCCAATCACTTTTGTGTAGATAGAACGGACTAAACTGAGTCGAAAAGTCCTCTACCATTTTGCAATTTTCTCAATAGTTAACAATATATTAATTACTAAAAATTGCAAAATATTAGTCTTGAATAATTTTTTACTCAAATACTATCAGCTTTACAGAAAAACTGCAAGCGACAAAAATTATTATTTTTTTTTTTTTCATAAAGTTCTGAGAATTTTTTCAGAATTTTTTATCAACTTTTTAGTACTGCATTTTCTTATTTTTACCTACATGAAAAAATACGGTATTGAAAAATTCTGAAAAAATTCTTAGAACTTTATGAGAAGAAAATAAATAATTTTTGTCTCTTGCAATTTTTCTGTAAAGTTGATAGTATTTGAGTAAAAAATTATTCAAAACCAATATTTTGCAATTTTTAGTAATTTATATCTTGTTAACTACTGCGAAAATTACAAAATGGTAGAGGACTTTTCGACTCAGTTTAGTCCGCTCTATCTACACAAAAGTGATTAGCAAAAAAGGTAGGGACACCCTGTATATATTTTTCTTACATATGTATATACATATATAGTCCCGAATTTAAATAGCCAAATTTAGAGGGGGTGTAGGAAATCGACAAACTGAGTAAGAAAAAAAAGCACTTTTCTGTCTGGAAATCGGCGCGTATACTCTCGTACTGCCTCTAACGCATTATCGCTGAACTTGTACACGAAAACAATAATATTCCATTTTGAAAACAATAATAAAATCCAAAAATTACATTTTATATTTTTTGTGATTTTTTCCAAAACAAAGCAAAAACGAGTATATCTCTAAAAAAATTTTTTTTTAGTTTATCGATTCCCTATTTACGTTCCCGAAATTTAGCCATTTAAATATGGGACACTCTCTATATTTCTTTTCTTTTTTACGAGCGAATAAATTCTTATCTTCACCTATATACGAAGCGATGATGATGAACGAGCTCGCGAATTAGTCGCTGTCCTCGCGCCTTGAAGTCTTCTTTCGAGATACTGCATTTCTGGGCTTCTCGTAGCGAACTCGGCAACATACGAGCGCGATAGCAGAGTATATCTAGCTGGGCGCAGGTTTGAATCATAAAACCAGATATGAGAGTTTCGTGGGCAACGCTGGCGTTCGCACATATAATTAATCCGATGGTTTGATGTAACATAGTAGCCCAGAAAGCGGTCGTTGACGAGATGTCATAGGGCACCCAGTCGGACAACGGCAAAGTTCGAGTGCTAATAAAGTACCGGAATTGAGCAACCGTGGCGAAAAAGACGGCTGACTCGTTCAGTATTTCGCAGCATACGGTGATTATTCTGGAGAAACATTGAAGAAATATTGCAAAAATATTGGGAAAATATTACAAAAATGTGAATGATGCACAAATGCGTATTTTATAAATAGACCAGTATGCAATATAAAAATACTTTTTGTAGATCTATTAAACAATATACATCAAGATCATTGACTTTCGAAGAGATTATGATCTTACGTGAACATTTACTTAAAACAAAAAACACGTCAGAGGAATGTACACACAGTTTACTTAAAATAAAAATCTTTTACAATTAATATTATTAATAATACACCTCTCTCTCTCTCTCTCTCTCTCTCTCTCTCTTCCTTCCCTCTCCCCCCTCCCTCCCTCTCCCTCCTTTCCTCTCTCTCGCTCTCGCCATTATAAAGAATCTTATTTTGAATAAGAAAGTTAAAAATATCTTTCTAACATTTTTTAAATATAAATTTTGTCTCAAAATTCCAGAATTGCATTATGCATAAATGTTTTTATAAATATTTAATCTATTAATTTTTAAATTCTTAATTTTTTTCTTAGACTTTCGTTTCGCATAAAAAGATTATTTCAAGAATATAATCATACAAACCTCGAACTTAGTTCTTACAGAATTTAATTTCACAATACTTTACACTGCGTACTTTGCGCTACGATCGAAGCGTCGCTGAATATCCATTTCACGATCGTTCCGGGGTACGCAGATGTCTTGCAACAGCATATCAGTGAGACCGATGATCTCATCCCGACGTAGCGTCAGGTTCATCACTTTGCAGCTAACGCCGAGTACCGACAGATATAGCGAGAATTTCTCGATGAATGTCTCGAGATCCTCTGTTATGAAGCAGTCGACTAAACCGCAAAATGTGAATGAATAAAGTAGAAAATTCATTACGATAGAATAAATGATGTACGCCCAATACTTGATAAAAGTCAAGTTAATGGGTCTCCAGTATCCGGTATATGTTAATAGCGCGAACGATAACGGAAGAGTATGCATGACTATTAACTCTTGAGAGTCTAAGAAAAGGTCTCGAAGATCTTAGGTAAGTCTCGATAAAAAAATATTTCTTGCAAGACAATTAGTTCTGAGGATGCTATTATATTGCAGTTTCCTGCATTTCCTCGCGTCAGCGTTTCATGTCTCGTACCCCTTTCCTTATTCTCTCTTATTTAGGAATTACTTTGACTTGCGACTTATAGATAATTATAGACTTATAGATAATTCATGCATAAATAAGTTTTATTAATCGTTTCATGAAATACTACTTGCAATTCTACAAAGACTATCCATACGCTATAAAGACACAATTATTAAGTTCCATCTTATTCCGTCTTATTTAAAAATGAATGTTCGTATGAATTTGCTACCTATGTCATCGTCGTGATCGATAAGCGAGTCTTAGATCTCATCTCTGACATAAAATACACTCTTCTAATTTATATGCTTTAATTACTTCTGGAACTTTCAATTATCTGTCAGTTTTGTATTTTTAACAAATTTAAACTTGAATTACAAGAATAAGGTGATATGACAAAATTGCCAATTGGTCATTAAATTAGTGACATTGTGAACGAAAGACAAAAGACTTCTAGGCGGAATAATATAGCGATGATAGCTCCGTTATTACGAGTAAAGTAAGTCGCGTTCGATTATCCATTAATATATAATAAATACAGTGAGCGGTAAAGTGTGCACGTTGGAGAGGCCGATACACATCCGTCTAGCTGTTTTTTTTCTTCTATACTAAGCAAGAATTCGCTCTTCCTTTTTTCTAGAAATTTTACGGAATCATAAGGTCTATTCTTTTCATTTTCTTACTACACCGTTTATATTTTCTTTTATTGTCTTCTCCAATACAGAGAGAAAAAGGAAAAAGATGAGTCGTGCATAAAGTTCATCTGAAAAGAACATGTCTCTTTTTCTATCGTCATTTTCAACGTAGCACAATCAATTCATCGAAATGAGTCCTTCGAACTTTTTTGGAAAAACTTTGATCGTACATTACAAGCTAAGATAGTTTTTGTCTATAAAAAAAGAAAGCAAGTATTTTATTTCCTCAAAAACACATCAGAGAATTTATACACACACAAATAATGATACTAATGTATATTATATATACGTTATATTACCGTCTTACGTATAGGAAGGACTCCTATTATGAGATACCAAGTTCATTTTGGGTACAGACTAGAAGTCTATGGACAGAATTTAAAAAAATAATTTTGAAAGGAATTAATAAATTTTAAGTTAATGTTATGTAAAATTTAATTCAAATTCTATTTTTCCTTTTAATTGAAACAATTTAAAAAGTGAGCAAATCGCAAAGTCAAAAAATTGTGCTCCTAATATGAGATGCCCCGAGAAATCGATAATAAAACACAAAGTAGATGCATTAGTATAGCAATTAAAAAACTTTATGTAATTGTTTCTAAAATACAAACGGACACAGCCAATGTGCGCGCAAAATGGACATGCATTGTGCCCGGGACTCATCTTCAGGTAGTTGGAACCAAGCATCACAGAAACAGTCATTCGATGTTCATTCCGGTTGTCTACTTTATTATTGTACAATAAGATTTATACTTTAGCAACGATCTTCGCTATGACATAGAAGCATAGATTACTTCATATTAGAAATACTCTGGATATCTCTCTCATATTACGATTTCCACGCCTTACGGTTTTACGATTATCAAATCTAACTTCTAAATTAATAATCGTAATTAAGCAATTCAATATATCCCGTATTTTTCTATTAGTTATATGATCTTACTCTATCAATCTACAAGAAGAATTTATTGCCAAATATTTACTTATTAAATAATAAACAAGGCTTATCTCAATGAAACTTGAAGACATCCAAATTCTAAAATCTTTTTTAACAGCGACTACAGGCATAATCTAATAATAAATTTTCCACTATATATATAATTTTCAATTCAAGAGCAATAAATTCATGGTAGAGCCAATAGATAGCGTTTATTAGTTTAGCAAAAACGCTGCTATCTCATATCAAGTTTATTATCAAAAATTTAATTGTTTTTTTTTAATAATTATTTCAAAGTAAATTTAATAGTAATTTAACTTTAAAAGAATAATATAATTTGTATATATTATTAGTTTAAAATATATTATTCAATAACGTATTGATTATTTATTTAATTCATCGTTGATTTAACCGTTAGAAGATAAAGAATGTTTTTCAAATTTTATTGTTATAATTATAACTTTATATTTTCTTTTGGGAAAAATATTGTTACTTCTAAAAGTTTACACACTAAATAGAGATTATTTTATAAGAAATTTAGTTTTCAATGAAAAAGTTGAAAACTTCATTTTTGATCATCTATATTTAGATCGGTACCACTGTGTGGCATGTGCATATGTACGCACTTTATGAAAAACTGAATAGAAAATTCCTCTACCATTTTGCAGTTTTCACAATTTTTTTTAGTTACCCAATAAGCGGAATGTCTAAAATTGACGCATGAGACAACTTTGGAATATCTTTAAGAAATCTGTAAGAAATATATATCTTTGAGATATTTCATAAAGAACTTTGAATGATACTTTAATTGTTGTTTTCTACATCAATTTTACCCGCTTATTCGGAAATTGTTTGAAATTAACTATCTACGTAGAAATAATTATTTGTCCACCAGGTTTCTTCAAGATACATATTGAAGAAGATAATTACTTTTGTTTATATTAAGATCCCTGCAAAACGTTATACGCCGAGTAAGATATTTTAATGATCTGAAAGAATAAACATTATAATGGCATGTGTGAACCAAAGTATAATGACATGGGCGCCGACTGTTATGGGGTGTGTGTGGTATATTTCATCAGAATTTTTCATATGTGGAATTCCACACATAAACTGTTTTTTAAATATAACTAATGTTGATAATAACTGTGCGTTTTTTTCTGCCTTGAGAAGATTGAAACATATTTTCGTTCTACAATGCAGCAAGTGCAGTTGAATTTAGTAACTGCATTGCATGTGCATTCCGATATTGCTGAGACTTTGGATATTAATGCACTTATGAATGAATTCAGTATAAAAAACAATATTTGGAGTTCAACATTTTCTGTAAGTGTTTCAATAAGTTAAACAAATATATTTATAAGAATTTATTATTAGAAGAATTTCGTCGTTCATTATTCAGCTGTTATAGTTTTGGCATAAAAATCTATATTCTCTGTTATAGTCTTGATATGAAAGTCTATAAAGAGATCTTGGAAGTAATTGTAAAAATTTTATTGTGCCCCCTCTTCTGTCACATTGTTCAACTCCACACATGACAAATTGACAAGTCGGCGCCCCTAATTAAATAGATTAAAAATGTTTTCAATATCGCTAATGTATTATTATTAATATCATCCCATTCACCTTCATAAAAGATTCGTTGGATAAAGTAATTATGTATCCGCTAGTTATCTTAATTGGCTTCACAGATCGTGTAATAATTATCAAAAGAGTCTTCATTAAATCAACTGGAAGCATCGACCAGTCCATCTCGTAAACGGCGTTTCCGATTTCAGTGCTCTGTGTATTTAAGAAGCTGATTAAAAAGCAAATTTGCTAAAACCGGCTTTAAATAAATTAAATATTCCTTGAAAAGGATAACGTTTTAAAAGGTTTAAGAATGTTTAAATAATCGACCTTCAGTGTCACTTCGTTGCCGAACCAGCAGTACAAATAAATCTGTATAAGCATAGAACAAAGGTATGACGAGCTATACGCAAACTCGACGCTTAGTAAGTTTGTTGTCAACATTTGGTAGATGCAAAGACAGAGCACTGTCGAGCTTATGGTGAATTGCACGAAAATCATTAGTGTGAATACCGCATTGATGCGTTCCGCAAATCTGCACCATTACAATTATCTATTCAATATATATGTACTATATATATGTATATATATTTCTTTTTCTTCAAGCGCGAATAAATTCTATTTTCACCTATACACGTAGCGATGATGATGTACAATCTCGCGAATTAGTTGCCGTTCTTGCATTTTGAAATCTTCTTTCGAGATGCTGCATTTCCGGGCCTCTTGTAACAAATTTGGCAGTATGCGAGTTCGATGGCAGAGTATATCTAACTGGGCGCAAATTTGGATCATAAAACCAGAAATGAGAGTCTCGTGAGCAACACTGGCATTCGCGCAAATCATTATTAAGATGGTTTGGTGCAACAAAGTTGCCCAAAAAATGGTTGTTGATGAGATATCATAGGGCACCCAGTCATAGAGCGGTAAAGTCCGAGTGTTGACAAAATGTCGAAATTGAGCAATCGAAAAAAAGGCGGCTGACTCATTCAGTATTTCGCAGCATATGGTGATTATCCTGGAAAAATATTAGAAAAATATTGGGAAAATATAATGAGTGGACTGCGGATTTGTATGCAGTACCATTTTTTTAGATTTAGGTAACAATAATAAAAGATCTTTACTGAACACTAACAATTTTAAATTGTTTTATGGATGCATATCGAGATATGCAAAATATATGCACAAAAAATATGCGTTATTTATGCATCATATATACACGTAAAATAAATAAAGATAATATGCAGATATATATGTAGGTATATAGTTTGACTATATACCTATACTTAAAAATGACATAGAAATTTATGCAAAGTATGTATTTTATGGAAATAATATGCTCGATTTATGCAAATATGTCAAGTTTATGCAAAATATACATTTTGTGCAAATAATATGCTCGATTTATGCAAATATGCAATTTATGCAAAATATGCATTTTATGCAAAATATTCAGTTAAGTATTTTGCATAAATATCCGCAATCTAATAATGAGTTGTTGATACGTAATTAACTAGACAATTACAACTCCTATAAGATTACTTAGGGCACGATTACGATAACTGTGGCCCCTCAAAATAAAAGAGATTTTTGTAAGCATTTTTAGCGAAGAATACGAGAAAAATAGTAAAAAAATTCTCTAACCAACAGATACTAAAATAACTAACAATTAGACATAAAAAAAATCGTCGCTTCGCATGGAAAGTCATACGCCCCATAGCAGGGGG